AAACCATTCAACGCTACCTTTCCAAGGTGATTCAATTGCGGTTTGTAATGGTTTGTCAGGTCTTCGTTCTTTTCTAATAATCCCTTCTTTTTTCTATATCTTCTCAAAACACATTCAACCATATCCAAGTACAGTTGAGCTCTGCTTTCGGGGAGTGTGCCCTCAAACTCCTCGCATAAAAGGCAAAGAAGTGCTGTGTTTAGAGGATTGGCCGCTATTTCTCTCAGATTTTTATCTCGCGACATCCGTTGCAAGAGCTTGGTGGCTAAATCCGTCCTTTCTTTAAAGTACTTGGTGACAAATCCTTTCACGTGCTTTTCAGTGAATCCTTCGATCTGAAGCAGCGTGTCACAACATTTTCTCACCTCTTTTCCAGCTTCGTGTCTTGCTGTTGCAACTATGTGGCATCTGGGGAGTTCTCTTCCCTCAATTAATTCGGAAAACATCGACAATTTACTGGACGGTAACTCATCCAATCCATCCAATATCAATAAAATGCTGGACTGATTTTCACGAATAAACTGAAAGAATTGTTGTTTGACTTCTTCATCGATGTCTCGGGGCAAAAGCTGATCATCAATAGCTTCCCAAACGTCCGAATGGATATCTCGACATTTCAGCAACAATACCACTTTAAATGCTGTTGAGCCGCAGCCCTGAGGCTCTCTCTGTTTTGTGGCCCAGTCGTAAGCGTACTTTTTACAATAGGTGGTTTTTCCCATACCAGGTTCTCCTTCAATCAACACTGTTCTCGGCGCTGAACACTCTTCATACGGGTCTAGTATTGACGACATCTCAACAAATACGTCAGTGATTTCTCCTCTCGTTTTCTTTCTTCTGACCACTTTGAGCCTTGTAAAAATATTGCCAAGAAAAAACTGAAACTCCTCACACCATGGAAATGGTGAGAGCCATCCCTCGCGAGTCTTGTACAGTTGGCGAATTCCATTGATAAGCTCAGTTGGATCAAAAATACCTAGCAGTAGCAAAATGAGTAAGAAATCTAATGAATGCAGCGTTGAAAATTGTGTTATCTATCTGGTATTCGGCACTGAATTTAAATATGCGAATGATTGCGATACCGTTGCCAAAGAGATTACTTGGACGATGCTAAAAGGTTTAAGTGTATGATTCATGCCGACTGATTAAAAGCCATTTAGATTATGAATTCAGTTGAACCTGCTCTGTTTGTTCGGCTTTCGCGGTGTCTGACAGTGAAACTCTGTCATAAAATAAATTATTGGGAAGATAAATATTCACATCATTGGAGCCGTAGTCTGAGCAAGGCTTTTTTTGGGATATAGCGAGACTACGAACTAATAAATGAAAACCAAACAACGCTTTTCTGCCTTCTTTGTCACGCGGTTTCATTAAAAATGCTGCAGAAAACCGGAGGCTCGCCTGCGATGAGGTGCGAACTTTTCCAACAGTCTTTTCCTCAGGCAATGTAAGACAACCACATACATCTTATTCTAACCTATTTTACTCAAAACGATACTCATTCAACTATTTTCCTATGTAGAATTGAATACTCCACAATATGAGCGAAGGAAGGGTTTGGTTATTTTATTCAGAAATATGCCGATCACATCTAATGCTTCTAGGTATTCGGCACTGAATTTAAATAAGTGAACGAGTGCGACACCATTGCCAAAGAAATTACTTGGACGATGAAAAGGTATCAATGTATGATTCATGTTAATTTACTGACCAAAAGCCATTTAGATTATAAATTCAGTCGAACCCACTCTGTTAGTTTCTAACATCGAGTCGAACTTAATGCCAATATTTTCGTTAAAACTTTACGTTAGTTTTATATCGTTCTCCATTCTAATAAAAATATAATGTTTCCAGGCTAATTGCGGGTGAAAGTTTAAACAATTGAATGGAATGAAAGCACACCGCAGAGACTATTCCAGAGATAGTTTGCATTGAAAAGCTAAATCTCTTTGAGATAGGATGATCTCTCTCTCTCTCTCTCTCTCTCTCTCTCTCTCTCTCTCTCTCTCTCTCTCTCTCTCTCTCTCTCTCTCTCTCTCACACACACACACACACACACATTCAGGACATGTTTAATACGGCTAAATTTGCGATTAAGCAGGATAACGTTTATTGTATAATTCAACTGACCTTCATCCTTGCTTTCTCCCATTGGGACTGCCGAAGTACACAGCTTTTCCTTCACTTCTTTCAGTTCGCTGTCCATCTCTGCCATTTCGCCTCTCATTTTGTCAAGAGACCCTTTCGTGGAATAACATTGGAACTTTTAGTCCGAGTGAGAGTCACTTTATTCATTAAAAGTTAACTAAAAAGATCCTTTTTCCTTCCCCTGGTTTTTTTTCTAATTATATACAACATTCTAAAAAACCCTATGGCTCGGTTTCAGCGGTTTCTAATAGTGAAACTCAGAGGTTGAATATTGATATCATTGTAGCCGATAGCCTGAGTAAGATCCTTATCGGTAAAAAGTGACATTGTAAGAACTAATTAACAAAAACCACGGAACGCCTTTCCGCCCTCTCATTTCTCATTATGTCCCTAACAAAAGTAAAACTAGAGTAAGACAATAACCTTCTCGGCTTGATGTGTATGAGTACTGTCAAAAAACTATCCAATCCGAGAGATAGCCTCAGATTCCGTGCCATCCCTCTCATTCCACACATTATCTAGTATCTTCATTTGAAGCCAGAGTAGATTGGTAGCCAGGGTGTGCTCTTACAACAATACATTAACTAAAAAATTGTAAAATTGGCCGACATCAAGCGAATAATTTGGTAATGCTCAAAAGATGTGTTATGTACTCAAGTTAACAGAATCCCTGTTTATGGTTCAGTTTATCTGTGAGTAGCACTTTCAAGCAACCAACCTTCACTTGTGCTTTTTTCCACTTTGGTCGTCAAGCTACTAAGCCTCTCTAAAACCTCCTTCATTTTAATCTCTATCTTCTCAGTTATGTCTCTGAGGTTACCTAGCGAATCTGGAAATGTAAGAAAGATAAACGTAATTTCATAAGCACGTTTACATCACAGATTCACTTTAAGGTGCAGATAAAACAATGATAAGCATCAATATCTAGTCGATTCCGAATGGATCAAACTCAATAAGACCCTTAGAAATCACAAAAATGCACTCCAGCAGTTTTATACGAGTACCCACAAACACACAAAAATACTGCCAATGAAAACACAGTGTGACCATTTGGGTTAATTCTTCATTTTCCACACAACACAAGAATAACTTTCCAAATATGTGACTAGTTCCGTCCAAAATGAAAACACCATGAGCTACTCTATACCGCGGTGATTCATCAGGCAAAAGAAAAAAAACAAAAAAAAAAGAAGCAGGAGAAATCTAGCGACCCGCCTGCGATGAAGTGGGAGGTTTTTCCTACAGTCTTTTCCTAAGGAAATGTAAAATAACCACAAACATCTTATTCTAACCCATTTTACACAAGACGATCCTCATTCAACTACTTTCCCATGTAGAATTGAATACTCCACAATACGCCAGGAGGAAGGATTTGGTTATTTCATTCAGAAATATGCGGGCCACATCTAACGCTGGTAGGAAGTTAGATTCATTATAAGAAAGGTAATACTAAAATAAGACTATAACCTATCTCGCCTACGATCATACATATGTATGAGTGCTGTCAAAACACCATCAAATCCGAGAGGTAGCCAGGGCAGAAAATCTCAGATTCTGTGGCATCCCACAGACTACATGGAATCTTCATGTAGGGTGTGCTCTTAGACTAGTAAAGAACCAAAGTATGCTGTGTTGGTCGACATCCAGCGATTACCGTCGTCATGCAGATGGGCTGCGTTATGTACCCAAGGAAACAGTGTCGCTCTTAAGCGCTAACGTCAGCATGCATCAAACAAACAGCGGCAAGTCGCCCAAATTTGTTTTCCCTCCTACTTTCATATTTTGTAGCCCAATACTTTCTAATAATTGTGGTGTAGTTTTTTTGTCGAAATTTATTTTAGTTTTCGAGAAATAATTTTTTTCGTTCGACCGCTCAAATATGCAAATTTTCACCGAGAATATTACCCGAGTTGTGTGACCTCATATAACGAATGTACTAGACCCACGGTATTTCTGTGAACATAAACCTTTTTTTTTATCATCTAAACGTAATCCCCTGTCGTTATTGAAGCTGGCAAAGAAATATTTATTTTTTGGTGAATATTTTTGTCCGATATACTTTTCCGGTGCCGATAAGTAGCCTCAAAACAAAGACAGTTTTAACAATGACCGATATGACAGAATCTACTGAGCTTCTAGCTTTTAAAAGACAAAAGGATGGTTATAAAGTTACTGTAAAAATTTCCTTGTGTTTTTGTGTTGTTCTATCTTGAGACGAACTCAAAGTATGTATCACAGATAGCACTCGAGATGTCTGGAAAATTCGTACAATCTGGCTTCAGTAAGTAGGCTACTTACCACCGTGAGCAAAATTACGCGTGACGTCATAGTTAAGTTTCGATTGGGAATTGGTCAATAGGCTGTCAAAAATTCAGGCAGAGGCGGAATTTTCTGAACTTATGTCTGAACACTTTGTTGGCTTTCCGCCGTCTGGGGGGACGCGTAATTATGCACACGGTGGTAAAGGGCCCTTCCGCACGAGCAACTAGACGCTGACAAAACATGTTTCTCCTCGCCAAAATCACATAGCAATTTGTCCTTGCTAAATGTCAAGTGTGCTGCACGTATTAGCACCCCCGGGACCCCTTTCTATAAGAGGGCGGGGGTGCGCGCCTGGAATTTCGAAAAAGACCGCTATAAAATTATAAAAGGTTCTTAAGTCTTGTTCGTGTGAGGGTGGCAACAATTAGCCTTTTCTATCTTTTTTAATGCTTCCCTCGCTCCTACAGAGGATTCATACAAATATGTGGGCCGTGCCGCGTTTACATTGTACAGGTAGGAAAGGTCGTCCAGAATGAGTGTTTCGTTCTGTAATAATATATGCATGCCAATATGGCTGCCACGCTCTTTAGAGCTCTTGCAGTTTTCTATATTTTTACCTTCATAACTATGATAACAGTCGAAAGAGCTTATCGAAATCAATCTTTAACATCAAGATGCATTAGTTGGATGGCTAGATTTGAGCTGAGAGTATCCCGGTCTCGAAATCTCCGGGTAAGAAGGGCTATGGTGAAATGGGACAGTCGAGGCATGGTCTTCCTGGCCGCCCCTGAGAAGTTTGTTGTGCTCGACATTACTGTTAATATGGATGTCCATCCACATCCTGGACCTGAAGAAGTGGATAATGACCACGGTAAACGAAAACAGAGCTCCAACTCCTCGGACTCTGCTTGTCAACCTGCAATTGGGTCAGTCAGAATCCATTGCTCTCACAATCGTGACAGGCTACTTTCGCTGAGACGTTCGGCGGGCCGACCTGCGCCTCATGTTTTCGATACCCTTAAATCCCTGGGAATTCTGAAATACAGAGGTCCGGGATTACGAAGATTGGGGAAAATTACTAAAAATATCTCTGCATCGCAACACTCCGACAGATGTCGACCCATTGAAGTTGTTAAAACCCGGCGGTTTGCTAGACCTTATCGCTTCCAAGATCCCGCTAAGAACAGATATCTTACAGCTATTCCTCGAGAGCCTACTAAATCATCTACCGATTGCTCGGAGTTTGCCGTTCCCAAGTGTATGTTCATCAATATTTGCAGTCTCGCAAAAACTAAGAACAAAGTGCGTGCGGCGGTTGGACTTGAGGCTGACTTGCGATCTAAAGATATTGATGTTTGTGTCGTATCGGAAACACACCTCAAACCGGCACAACCGGATGCGATTGTAAATATTGAGAACTATTCCATCTTTCGTAGAGACAGAAATTGGAATGGCAGAGATATGCGCAATAAGGGTGGGATTGCTATATACATCAGGAACAATCTTGCAGTAGAGGATGTTTACCGCTCTAGTCTTTATGAATTAATTTGTATAACTCTGCGACTTCCCAAGGGACATCGATTTGTAATATGTGGAGTTTATCATCCCCCAAAATTTAATTATGCAGAGATCGATCTAATGAATCATCTTGTAAATACCGTGGATAATATACTAGACAAACATCCACAAACAGTTGTGTTGTGCGGTGGCGATGTCAACAAACTGGATATCAAACGCTTCGAAGAAATGTCTGGTTGGAATGCTCTGGTTAATTTCCCCACCAGAGGGAATTCTTGTTTGGACAACTGTTTCACGAACCGCACGGATCTCTTTTCAAAGTGCTATCCCTTTCACATGCTCTCCAAGACGGATCACATGGGAGTTATTTTACCACCCGGTATAAAGCTTCCACCTATCCGCCGTAAAGTATACGTGCGTGACCAAAGGGCTCATAGAAAGCGTGATCTGTATATCGCGTTGGCGAAGGAAAACTGGGATGATATGATACAGGAAACTGATGTCGATGAAGTGGTTGGTAGGCTCGAAAATACCATCCTAGGGCACCTGGATAGCTGCATGCCTCTGAAAACAGTGCGCATGTCTTCAAGAGACCCGGGCTGGATGACTCCGCTCGTTCGATCGATGATACGAGCCAAATCACGCATATCACTCAGTAATCTAGACCGTCTTAAAGTTATGAATAAAAGGATCTCTGAAGTGATTTTCAGAAACAGAAGGGACTTTATCGCCTCTATTGGAACTCGGGATTGGTGGAAAAAAGTGGATAAAACATCTCAGCGCCGCAAGCCGGTGATTTCTCTATCTCTTGGCCACTACGAACTCAACGCGTTAAATGACTACTTTGGTGACCTATGTACTGACCACGCCTACAGAAAGCCAACACCTCTGGAGATTAGTGAAGATCAGGAAGTCCCAGAAATCTCAGAGCGACAAGTCCTGAATTCTCTTATGCGTATAAAGAAAACAGCAACCGGACCAGATGGCATCCCGTATACTATATGGAAAGACCACGCCGAGCTATTCGTTCCAGTGATCACCTGGATTTGGAATCTGTCTCTTAGAACACACGCCTGGCCTGTCTCTTGGAAAAAGTCAGACCTGTACCCCTTGCCGAAGGTTGATATACCTAAGGGAATATCAGACTTCCGCGGAATAAATGTGACACCTGTCATCGCAAGGTGCTTTGAGAAAGCTGTCTTAGGAACACACGCAAGGGAGACCTTCGATGAACATTCTGGGATCTCACAGTTTGCATACATAGAGGGAGGGAGCTGTACCAATGCTCTACTGACTATCCAACATACTGTCAATCAATATCTTGATATCCCAGAGTGCAAAGCGGTACGCCTATTCGCTATGGATTTCAGCAAGGCTTTTGATAGTGTGAAACACGATCTCCTCTCACACAAATTGAAGCAACTCCCCCTAAATCCTTTTATAGTTAACTGGTATCTAAGCTTTTTGGAAGACAGGCAGCAGAGAGTCATTAGAAATGGGTTTATTGGAAAATGGAAAAGTGTCAACAAAGGTACCACCCAAGGAAGTGTCAGCGGGCCGCACTTGTTCAATGTCTTTCTCAGTGATTTAGAGATACACTTGGACAATAAGAGCGTGCTGGTAAAATATGCAGATGATACAACCATTATCTCGCCTGTGATAGGTGATAATGACAATTCTATCGCACTGATTAATCAGTTTTCCCAGTGGTCTAGAAGTAATGGTATGTGTAGCAATCCATCTAAGTGCAAGGAAATCATTTTCCGCAAGAAAGGTTGTACAATAGAGTTTCCGATGGTGTCTGGAATACCACAGACAAAAGAGCTTACTATTTTAGGGGTAACATTTCAGGAAGACAGTAGGTTCATAACACATATTCGGGAAAAACTAATTAAAGCAAACAAGTGCCTGTTCATTTTAAGATCTTTAAGGAAAGAAGGGTACAATCAGGCCGAAATAGACCATCTGTTTCTAAATCTGGTTCTACCAAATATATTATACGGGCTGTCCGTATTTGGCGCTGTAAATTCCGAATTAACAACAATCCAATGTTTCTTAGATCGATGTTATAAGCGCAAGTATACATCCGATCACATTAATGTTTATGAATTGTTAGTTCAACAGGACACGCGTATCTTCAAGAATGTTTTTAATAATACAATACACCCTTTAAGAGCTATAATGCCAAAAAAGAAATTAACCAAGTACAATCTGAGGAAAGAGACAAGTCACCATCCTAAAATAAACACTGATAGGTTCAAAAACACGTTTGTTAATCGCTTAATTTTTAAACATAATCTAGTCTTATAATTTTTATCTTGATTTTCTCTGTAATTTATATATATACCTTCTTTTAATGTTGTAACATAGGATATGTGATTATTTATCTTATGACTTAATAAAGATTCAATAATAATAATAATGAAAACCCCAATAAACTCACTCAGAAATGACTCATTTCGAATAAATTTTACGCTGATATCATGTGGCAACCGGTATTAACTCGCTATTGAACAAAACTCATTCAGATATCATGTAAAAGGCCCCTAAAAGTTTTTATTCCCAGAGTATCACGCTTTGCTCGCCTGCCTGAATACTAAAAATTTCAGTAGCGTTGAAGCAACAACCCGCTTTTAACTGCTTCGCAGCCGCTCAAACAACGATTTGTGAAGCAAGCACACATTTAAATATTTTAAATTCAACGTAAACAAAAATCTTTATAAATGGTAAATATTCACTTGTGTCGGTATCAATTATTGCGTGACTAGCTTATGATATAAATGAGGGAGGGGAAAACACAACGCAAAACCTGAGCTCCTGTCAAAAAGTAATACCCAGGCGTAATATAGTAATTGAAACGGCTAATAAAATTATAAATAAACAAGGTAAGAGTGTTATGTTAGACTTTTTTACAAATTGTAGTGATTTATGCCAATTAACGGTGGCGACAAGTAGGCGCACCATGTACATTTAAAAAATGGATTAAAAAAAGGATTATGTTCACAGAAATACCGTAGGTCTAGTGCATTCGTTACATGAGGTCACACAACTCGGATAATATTCACGGTGAAAATTTGCATATTTGAGCGGTCGAACGAAAAAAGTCATTTCTCGAAAACTAAAATATATTTTCACAAAACCTACACCACAATTATTAGAAAATATTGGGCTACAAAATATGAAAGTAGGAGAAAAAGCGAATTTTGGGCGACTAGCCATAATATTTAAAATTTTTTGGATGGATGCTGACATCCTCTCTTAATAATTTTTTTTTGAGTAGCTCTTTCTACCAACCTTCTTGTGTGCTTTTTTCAGCTGAGGCCGTCAGACTACTCAGCTTTTCTTTCACCTCTTTCATTTCAATCTCTATCTTGTCAATTGTGTCTCTGAAGTTTCTCTCCATAACGCTTCTCATGTTTTCCAGCGAATCTGAAAATTTCAAAAGATATGCGCATTTTCATAAGCAAATTTATATCACAGCTTCACGTTAGGTGCAGATAAAACAATGATACGTATGTCAATATCTAGCCGATTCCGAATCGAATAAATCAAACTCAATAAGACGCATAGAAATCACAAAAATGCACTCCAGCAGTTGTACACGAGTACCCACGAACAGACAAAAATACTGCAAATGAAAACATAGTGTCAACATTTGGATTAGTTCTTCATATTACACACAACGTAAAAATACCTTCCAAATATGAAACTAATGCCGACCAAAACTAAAACATCATGAGCTAGCCTACACTGCCGTGTTAACTGAAATAAATACTTTTGTAGCCTACTGATTGATCCACATTGGCAGTACACAATATTTTTCTTACCTTCAATTTCTTCAAGCTTGTCTTTGATGCTGTCGTCGTCTTTCTTCCATTGTTTCATCAGTTCACGGTAATGCTCCTCGATATCTGGATCCATGCAGTAGAGCTCAAGACTGTCGATTTCAGCTCTAAAATGAGCTCCTCCCAGTCTCACCAAAGCTTCTCGTATCTCCTGCCAGTAAGCACTGAAACTAACGTCATCCACAAAGGCTTGAGATGCATGTCCGTATACAGTGTTTCTGTAATATTTCACTCTGGCGATATCATCTGCGATGCTTATATCTGTAGCTAGGGGAAGACGATCCCATCCGTTGGCAGGAGGGCCCAAACCACAGATATTTCTAAGAAGCACCGTTAGAAGTGTGATATCGAAGGCTGCAGAAGACACGGGTGAGTGAGTAGGGTACAACTTTCCCCATTGCGTGGGATTCAGCACTTTCTTCTTCCCTGTGTACAGTGATTGCAATGTGGCGTAATGCACTGAGGTACTTCCCAAAACTGTATGTAGAGTTGCTGGTGGATGTATTGTGTCAAAAGTGGACCGGAGCACTTGAGATCCAACGTCCACCAGGAGGCGGCATAGCCTTGCATAGTTTGTAGTCTCTTTCGTAGACGCAAATGGCGATGGAGCCGTAGCCATGAAACTGACTTTACCAGGATAAACTGTCAAACATGAATTGACATTGCGTTATGTTGATCAAATCCATTTGAAAAAATAACTCCGGATAGCCAATTAAGACCGAGAATGGTTTCAAATCGTGATGCATGCAGAAACATACGCAAACAGGACACAATTATTTACAGCAAATAAATTATTAACCCTTTAACTCCCACATCAAATTTGTAATTCTCCTTACTCTCAACCATACAATTCTTAGTATTGAATCAACTTATTATCCCCAAATTTATATTTTTCTTTACTCTCATCACCTATCTGCTTGATATTGTGTTGATATTGTAAGGAGAAATTCTGTCTTGGTCACTCATGGCAATTAAAGGGTTAATAAAGATTGACAAAATGAAGGCAAGTTTCAAAAATGAGAGAAAAAACAGAGCAGCAAGTCCTCCTACCTTGTATAGAGTTTCCTGGGTTTAAGAAAATAACCCTTGAATCAGAAATTCTGAAAAGGGAAGCAGCAGAACAACAGTTACTATAGATCAGTTATGAAAGACAATGACAGTCACAAATATGGGCACTAACAGGTGCTCCAAGGTTATAAGTGGTATTAACGGCAACATTACATAATTATATCATAGTAATTTCATATTATCAGCTGAGTTGATAATGTAAATTCGCCACTGTGACGAGTTTAAAAGCTGACAATTTGTTTGTCAGCCCAATTGCTCTGATGAAGGGCTAACACTCAAAAAGTCATCTTTTTAAACCTTATCAACTCAATTGATAATACTAAATTATCCTGGTATACTCTCCTACCAAGGCAGCACCACAGTTTCTTCAGAAACTTACCGCCTTTATTTATAATATTAGCAGTGAACTGTAATCTGGAGAGCTTTGATTATTCATAGATTACACCGGCTTTCCTCCTCAAGGAACATCACTCTAGCTCATTAACTGTTAAAGCAGAGTTAAGAAACAATAGCTCAATAGGAAGTTATTGTTTATGCTATAAATCACCAATTTGTGCTTCTGTTACATGCTGGATGAGTGTTCAATTTGTAAAAACTTCCTGTTATGGACATTACACAATTTTTGTTGCGGACATTACACTGTGGAACGTTTTCTTACATTGGTAAGAATAAGGGAATATTTTTGTTTGTTTACAAACTTTTGATAATTGACTTTGTCAGAACTGATAACTTTGTAAGTTATAAATTAATATGAGTTAATTCTCTTTTCTGCTTGTACTGATAACCATAACATTAATACTACACTTGAGTGTACATGTTCCTACTATGGTATGTGGAGTATCTCATGTGTAGTGCATGCCCCTTGCAATTCAGTTTTATTGAGCATGCTCTAACTAGTGTTTCTGCTGTCTTAATGGTTCTTGCTTTCTGAGATACAGTGCAGATTTCTAGTGTGACACCAAGTTTTACATTGGAAGAACCCTTAGGGTTACTGATAATGAGGATGAAATCAAATTTCTACACCAAGTTGTCAAAACATTTAACTGGCCTCTGTCCTCAGGAGCAATATTGATACTGTCCACAACAGAAGAGTCTTCAATGGCTCCAAAGAGCTGAAAGGCACTGTCAGGACCTTTCAATGTTTCAAGTCTTTCATGTACTGGGAAGCTTTTTAAATATCTTCAAAAAGAAAATGTTTGCAAATAAATAATCAAACTAAATGCAGATTGCAGTAGTTAAACACTGCTTTAATTACTAAACTTGGATTGTTCCGAACTTTTTGTAAGAGTACTTAATTCATTGACTGTTAATAAGCCAATTGATACTATTTTGGAAAGTTACACTGCACTGAACTGTATGAATTAACAACTTTCTCTATAGTATTATTAGTGCTGAGTGGCCTTTGAAAGTTAAAGTATTGCTTGTTTTAAGCTACATTTTTTAAACATTGCATGCTATATTTTAATTTGTTATCTTCAGATATTATAAAAGAAGGTATTGACTCTTAATACAGTATGTTTTTCAGAAAGTTTAATTCACACTTGGACTCAAACTTTTTGAAAATTTGTACCCCTCTTGTCAGCATTGTGTTGCTACTGCTAATTGTTGTTTATAGTTATTGTTACTACTGTTTAGTCAAAAGCACTGCAAACTTGGATGTGATAAATTTGAACAAAATTGGTTTGCATGTTAAACATTTATTTTTCCAAAAAGAATTACCATAATAAAAGTCATGCAGTCATAATGTCCACAATATAATGTCTGTGATGTGATGTCCATAATGTAATGCCTGTAATGTAATGTCTGTAACATAAAGTAAGCTTTATTTTTTCTTGCGTTTTTCCATGATTTTGGTCATTTACAACACTCAAGTTTAGGCCCCTAAAAAGTAAACAAGGAGTCGAGCTGACAAAAAAAACTGGTTTATAACTTCAGAGAAAATGAAACAAAACACTGTTTTTGTTAAGGACATACCAAAATAATGTTACTTGCTCTTATTTACAAAGTACGACCATTTTGGGAAAAATTTTTTCCAAAAGTTCTTCTTTGTGTTGAGTTCTGTTAGTTTTGTTCCTCTGGTGAGATTTTGGGAATACATGTGTCTTACTTAAATCATTTTAGATCTTTCAGCGTGCCAGCTATTTTCACACACTTTTCATCGGACAAAAATAAACAGCCTCTCTTAGCCATTTCCCACAAAGTCAACTTTCAGATTACTATTTTTTAAACAATTCAGGGTCTCCTTGTTCTTAAAATCTATGATAGGGCTAGATATGAAATATTTTAAATTTCATCACTTGAGCAGTTGTAAAATGGTATGGGCCATGATGGTTTTCATTATTTTTACCATCCCCTAAAAATCGCTCTGGCCATCCAATGAAATATACTTTTACAAAAATGTTATAGCCATATGTAACTGTGATTTTTTAACATCTTGAACATGTTGGATTGTTTACACAATCATCAC